TGTTGGGTGCCACTATCTAGTTTTTGAAACTGGAATGTTAGCACAAGACTTTAATGGCTAAGGTGCATACCCACATGGATAGATACAGTGGCACAGGCCACCATTTCATGGTTCCGTCGTAAGGGAAAAAGTTATGTTTTTGAAGGGTGTCATTGTATTGTTTTGTTGGGTGCCACTATATAGTTTTTGAAACTGGAATGTTAGCACAAGACTTTAATGGCTAAGGTGCATACCCACATGGATAGATACAGTGGCACAAGCCACCGCTTCATGGTTGCGTCGTAAGGGAAAAAAGTTACGTTTCTGAGGAGTGCTACTGTATTGTTTTGTTGGGTGCCACTGTATAGTTTTTGAAACTGGAATGTTAGCACAAGACTTTAATGGCTAAGATGCATACCCACATGGATAGATACAATGGCACAGGCCACCGCGTCATGGTTCTGTCGTAAGGGGAAAAAGTTATGTTTTTTAAAGGTGCCACTGTATTGTTTTGTTGGGTGCCACTATATAGTTTTTGAAACTGGAATGTTAGCACAAGACTTTAATGACTTAGTTGGTAAATGCTCCTACCTTCATACAAAAGGTTGGCTCAGGTTCAGAGTACCATAGTTGTCAAATCTGTTGTTTTTTATATAGCTCTTGTGTTTTAAAAAATATAAGTAGATTAGACTCGAACATGCGTCTTTTCAATGTAAGGACAAGGAACCAACCAACAGGTCTATATTAATATCGTTAAAAAATATTAGATATTTTTTTCCTAGTTTAATTGTGTCACAATTTGAAGAGAATTATGGGTCCGCATCTGAAATGCAATATGTATGTGTTCATATCTGAATCTGGACAATATTCAGATTTTAGTGTGAAACATGTAGCTGAAGGTGTTTACAATGGGACATACTGAGTAGGTTTGGTTTGATTTACATGTAACACCCTACAACGGGCGGAGCTACATAGAGAGGAGGGGTGCATGTGCTCCTACTCCATCTTCCCTGAAATAAAAAATTAGAGGTCAGAAAGGTGCACCCACTTTATTTCTTATGTGTCTTTATATTTCTTGAAACTAAATTAAAGACACAAGTTTATGGTGGTAGACATGGTCTCACCGTGTTAAGGTCCTTTGGATTTGGGTTCAAATCTTGCATTCGGCAAATTTCTTTATTTTTCGGTTTTAATTTAAAATTTTTGAACCATCGTATTTGGTTTTTGTTACATGTTATCCATCACTTTTACAAAGATACCATAGGCATAAGAAGCTATTGTTTCTATTTTATAAAAACAAAACCTCTGGTTTTCGATGTTGAACTTGTAGAAGTACCAAACACTGTGATTTTGACCTTATGAGATCTTTGGAGAATCTCTTCAGAGGTCACCGGTTCGAGTCCTGCAACTTACAAGGCTATTGGGAATTTTTTTGGTTCTCCAAGACTTCTGGAATTAGTCGAGGTATGCACAAGTTAAACGAAACACCCACGGTTAAAAAAAACACTGTAATTTTCATTCTGTTATGGATTTCTTTCATGATCCTGATGAGCGTTGGGGTTTTTCTTTTAAATGTCCCATGTGCTATACTACTAGTCAAAGTAACAAACCAAAGTTTTTATAAACCACGAAAGACAGATTTTTTTAATATAGGGTTTGTTTGTTAGTTGCTGAATGATTTTGTACAGAATGATTAAAAGACTCTAGTGATATAGTGCAAAATAAAATATAATTGTTCGGTAATTGTTTACAATGAAATTAGGGCGCTGAATGGTTAAGGAAGACTCATGATACAAAATCATTCAGAGAGTTTTAGAACCATTATGAGACAGACTTTTTTTCCGCAAAACAAGATTCACCTCTTAATGATTCAGATATTGTCTTTTAATGAAACTATTAAGAGGTAAACAAACAAACCCTTACTATTACACAAAAGTCCAATACAATTACACAAATAACCAAAGAGTCGTTTTTAAGTCAACGTTATGAAACGAGAATGCTTATCAATGTAGATTGGTACAACGTAAACGATAAATACAACTAACAGTTATTTATATAACATAACTGATAATTTACCCCCAACGACTTGAATTATTTTTGAAGGTATAATGGGTACAATCTATAACTCATAAGCACTGTTATGGATACACTCCAGATGAACTATAAGATGAACTATATGACTATATCTTATCTTAAAATGTTCTTCTTTTTCGAATCAAAAATCACGATAAAGATTTTGAACTATCTAATCTCTGCCTTATAGGCCACCAATGCACAACGGCCTTATTGTTGTGCTTTGCAAGCATAACACTAAACCGAGAACGATTCCAACTCAAAACAAAGTGTCATATTACACCATTTGAAGAGTACTTCTAACACGGATGATACATGTTATGTTCAAAAGACTAAAAAAATTACATAAATAAACTTTGGAATGAGATGTGTAATTCAAATATAATTATACTTTTAAATCGACATAGATAAATTAGGAAAAAAAATCATATCGTAATATTTTTTTATTGATAGCGATCAGAGATGCACAAAAAAGTTAAGGTGTAAAGTTAGGCTTMAAAACCCTAATCAGGCTGTAATTTTACAGGGATGACGTTAAGTCTGAAAAATCCGGTTAAATCCAAAAAAATTCTAAAACACATGGTTGAAAAAGCTTGATCACACTTTTCTTCAATCCCAAAACCCGACCCGACCCGACCCAATTAGGGTCTAAAATAGCCCTTTTCTTTCACTAACCTAAAATGGGTTTGCCAAATTACTGGAGATGCATCATACATATTTTTGCAAACAAGAATAACGTCGTATTCTTGAATTTTTTTTTAGGAAAAAGAAAATAATAAAAGTATTCTCCAATTTTAGTTTTAAAAAAATTCATGTCATTAATCACGTCAGCAAATAATACCGAGTAAAATACCATATCACTTGTCATATTAACATGATAAACGATTAATGTTTCAATACAAATATTTAGATATTTAAAACTTTATATTTTAAGTATCAAAATGAAAGTTTTGAAATTAAGATTTTTCATGCGATTTTCTGTTATATTTTCCTTTTTTTTTTTATTTCTTCCGCTTCCTCGTTCTCTTCGTTTTAAACCCCTAGAAGCTAAACCCTCCACCTGAAAACAACGCCCATGGATTCTTCAGGTAAGAGGGAGAGCCTACCACCGGTCCCGGCTTGCTCGTATAGCCGTCCGTTTATCCACCACCACCACCACCACCATCATCGGTGTCTCGAACTGTCACCACATTGTCAACTGCACGGCGGCTACCTTTTGCATCCAAGCAGTCATCATCACCACCACAGTGCCACCGCCCACAGCCACCATCACCACCTGGAGTTATCGCCTGATTGTCCACTCCATGGATATCTACTACCTTATTGCCCATTGCACAGCTCAAATTCCTACTCAATCAATCAGTCAACAACCAATTTCCCCATAATCCCCAATTTTGCTCCGACAATTCCTCCTCCGCAAAACCCTAACCTCTCCAACCCTAATATCAACAATTTGAACTCCATACAACTTGAAGCTGATACAAATTCTAAATCTGAAGCTCTGTAAGAATCGTGATCGGATTGCTGTTCTTATTTCTTAAACTAATCATGTGTTTATGTTTTAAGGATCGATTGCAAGATCATGATCGACGGTTTTAGTTCAGAACCACAAATATGAAAATTAATCGAATCATCAATAGATCTTAGCAGTAATCAATGATCATATGAACTCCAAATTGCATATAGGCTTTACTTGATCTACTTTAAGCATGCTTGTTAAGCTATATATCTACATTTGATTGATGTAACTATCCATGTTTTTATTGGCTTCAGATTTTGTTGCTTCTATACATACATCTGGACTTACCTTCCATGGATTTGCTTGGTCCTTAGATTGATGCAAGAAAGGAATAAAGAAGTCGAAGATGGAAATGAAGATGAAGATGAAGAGGAGATTATCTTCGTGTTAACTGACGAATGGAAAGAGTTTTTTGCAAAATCTGAAGCTAAACGGAGATTAGGTAAGTGGTAACAACATTTCTGATTTGATTCACATGTGAATTATGATCCTCCCTCCCCTTTCCCCCAAATTCTTTTGAATTGCCATATATGTTGATATTATAGAAGTTTGATTTCTATATGAACTTGTTTGCAGCAAAGAAGAAAGCAAAAAAGAAGGGTAAAGATTAAAAGAGCTTGCATTTGTTCTTTATTTCAGGTACAACCACCAAAATTGTAATGATCCTCTATATGATAACTACTACAAACTTGAATGATTTTGAACTTGCCTTCTTATGGCTTCTAACCAAACCAAACATACCTAATATATCTCATCAGAGTAGGGTCTAGGGAGGTATGATGTATGCAAACCTTTCCTTGAGAACGTTTATATGCTATTTTTTATTTGATTTCAATTGCTATCAAATTATGTGAATAAGTCAGTTCTATATCCTATCCTATATGAGTGGCATGTGACTGAGAAGGGGGTATGGAATGTGAGTCGTGTGAGTGAGTTGGGGCAATGAAACGTGAGTGGTATGTGAGTGAGTTGGGGTATGAAATATGAAGGTGAATTCTATTCATACCCCCTCCTGTAGAGGGGTATGTAAGTGAGATAGGGGGCGGTGTAAGAACTAGGTGTGAGTGAGGAGGGTATGAATAGCAACCCCCAATATGAATGGTATTTGAGCGAGTAGAGGTTTTGAAATATGAGTGGTATGTGAGTGAGGAGGGGTATGAACAGCA